AAGCTCTCTACTCCCAGATTCTTGTGAACGCTGATGAATGCTGGTAGATGCTGGCAGACGCTAGATCGATACGAATACTTCACTAGCCCACGAGACGCAGGCAGACGCTTGGAACGGAATGCTGGACGCTATTGGTCGCTATTGGCCGCAAAGTATGAACGCAGCCTTAGGAACACGTCTTATGGAAAGTTGTTGCCTGTACGTCGCCACTGTATCAACATCTCATGATCCACTAAAACAATTTTTGGCGTTGTTCTGCTTGGGAGGGGTATTTTGCACTTTCGCTAACTTCTATTGCTAGTTCCTGTTCACCTGTCTTACTTTGTTGAGACCTGTAGACCTCCACGCAAGAAGGCTCATGCTTTTGCATAGACTTGCAGAAGTTTACTGGTCTCCACAGGAGGCATCGGCACTGATTGATGGGAACAAAATGCCCCTGCCAAGCCGAACTGAGCCCAATTTTCATAATTTTATATTTCCTGTTTTTCAGCTCGTGAATGGCCAGGAATTTCACTCCAAAAAGGAACAAGCGGCAACGATGAATGGTGGGTGTTTTTGAGTTGAAGACAAACCATATCTCATGGCAAAAAGGGGCGTTTCCAAGAATACACCAACGACTGGGAAGGTACAGACGAAAGAAAAGTCGAGTCGTATCATGTTCTCTGCAAACGGTGGTGTGTGCGACGGTGCGTGAAGTGCTGCCAAGGTGGTCATGTCCTTTCACACGCCGTGTCGTTTGCTGGGATCGCGACTGTATGGACGGGCAGTAAAGGAGCGTTGGCATAGCCATCCGCCGCGGAAACGCCCACTTTTGTTCAGATATGGACTTTATAATTTGGTGCAAGTCGTCAGAGGGGATATGATGGGCTCACTGTGCAAAACTGGGATCGCCACTGGGGTTGGAGAAAAGGATTTCCACCTTGATTCGGGTAAGTTCCAGAACCTTCTTCTCCCCTTAACGTTCGTCCCGCATCGTCGCGAAGTCCCCTGTTCTTGCGGAGCGTCGCCTTTTTCTGCAACCTTGGGAATGTTTTGCCGCGGTTTTGACATAACAGTGGCAGTGATCCCAGTTTTTGCACTGAGTCCTTTTGAAGGTCGCTCTCATATCGACTTGCTGTTTAGCTTATTAAGTAGTGTGCCTTTTTTTAATGGTAATTTTCACCCGCTTTTTTGTCTCAATTTAACTTGGTGGGGAATACTGTAACGA